TTTACCATATAATTCAGACCAATGTGACAAATTAGTTCAAATCAGTGATGTTTTGCTCAACTTACTATGTTAACATAATAAAAAGTTATTACAAATGTGAAACAGAGTTGCTGATTTTTGAAACATTTCCATATTGTTACCATTCCTGACATGGTAGAAGTGAATTCTCTAAATCAAAACCATTTCTGAAGTGTGGCAACGGAGTAAAACTAGTTCTGGGAATTGGGATAACAATTATAATTTCAATCTAATTATCACAATTGAGTATTCTTAGAAAAATAGGGCATCAGAGAAGAATACAGAGAACACAGTTCAAAAGACAAGAAACACTGACACAAATCATGTACATATATTTTTACCACCATGTCCTTATTTTTCTTTACAGAAAATAAAATACAAAATGCCCTAAAGCATTCAAAGGCAACAGGTTTTAAGTATACAAAAATGGGGAAACTTGAAAAGAAAATAAAAAAGAGGCAATTAAAAGCAGTGCAAGATGACAGGACTTGCTGCTATTTACCCCAGCAAGAACATATACATATCTCCTCTTTTATTTCTTTTTTATTGTTTTTTGTTTTTATTTATTCATTTATTTTTTGCAGCCCCGCTGTTGCAACTCCTCTTTTATTTCTATCATTTACTGAGAACAAGATGAGGAATGGATGAACAGACAGCAATATAAAGTATGAAGAGTGAAGAGCAGCAACTAAGCTCAATTAGGAATGGCTGTGTGTGGTTCACAGCTTCCAAACTGATCATGATGCCCTGATTACAAGCGCTGAAGGGTAGAGTACAACACAAGAGAGCAGCACCTTGGCTTTCAGGAGTTAGGCAATGCTGCCAAATGGGCCATATCTCAAGTTACCTTTAGTGCCTTGCACTGCCTTTTTTGAACTTATCTCCAAAGTCCTGTCTCCTCTCTCCTGAACCATTCCCACTCCCACGAAACCACATACCTGAACTGCTCAAAACCTGAAGTCTATGGCTTCCCCTAGCCTTCCCTTGAAATGCTCTGTTCTCTGAGCTACTCATTTCCTTGAGTTATTCCAGTTAGGTGTTAGAAGAAAAGCCACCTGATTTATGGGTGATTGCACTAAGGGATTCTAAGAACAGACTATGTAGTCCCTGGTTCCAGTAAGGATCTTACTAAAGCATGCTTACCCATCACAAAAAGAATCAAGTAAGACTATATGAAGAGTATAAATGCATGCATGTGAATTTAAAAAACAAGTTAAAGCACATGCCCTAAAATGGTGGGTCAGCAGACTCTTTCCTCTAGCAGTCCTCATTTCTAGAACTGTCCTGATTAAAGTAGGACTGAGGAGCTCCTTTCCTTCCAAATTTATAGTCCCTAAAGCACCCTTCTCTAACACCTAGGACTCAAAAATCACTGGTATAGCACACTCCTACTAGAGTTTAAGATCTAGGAAGAGCCTGGACTATTATAATATCCTAAAATTTCAGATGAGGAGAATGGCCCAAATAGCATAAATGATTTATTCAAGAGCAGAAAGCTGAACTCAGACCTCTAACATTTCTACAAAAAGGGATTTTACACCTAGGTTCTAAAGATTTCTCTAAATTGCTCTTTAGAAATCTTCAGAACCTAGGTGAACAGTACACAAAACCATTCCTATGTAAACATATGCTTTGAGTTTATTTTTCAAAATAATTTAACTGTCCCTTGGCAATCACAGTTAGTTTTTTTTGTGTTTGTTTTTAACTTGCTAATCCTTGTTTACAGATTCATTTGTTGTGAATCTCAACAAATGAAATTTTAGCATTCTACTATCTCAAAAAATTAAGATTGCAAAATACTTAAAGTCTTTTTTAAGAACAAAAGAGCCAGGCATGGTGGTTCACACCTGTAATCCCAGCACTTTGGGAAGCCAACATGGAAGGACTGCTTGAGCCCAGGAGCACAAGACCAGCCTATTCAGGAGGCCATGGACTCAGATAGACAGACAGACAGACAGACAGACAGACAGACAGACAGATAGATAAATAGATAGATAGATAGATAGATAGATTAGATAAGATAGATTAGATAGATAGATAGATAGATAGATAGACAGATAGGAAAAAATAGTCTTCAACAAATGTTACTGCAATAACTGCATATCCTCACGTAAAAGAATGCAGACAATAACAAGTATTGGTGAGGATGTGGAGAAAATGAAACCTTCCCACATTGCTGGTTAGATCGTAAAGTGGTGTTAAACAGTTACCACAAGACACAGTCATTACACTCCTAGGTGTACAGCCAAGAGAAATGAAAATTTATGTCCATACAAAAACTTGGACATGAATGTTCATAGCAGCATTATCCACAATAGCCAAAAAAGAAAAACAACCCCTATGTTCATCAATGATGAATGGATAAACAAAAGATGGTATAGCCATACAATGGATTATCTGACAATAATTAAGTGAATGAAGTACTGAAACATGCTATGAAGCTCAAAAAAATTGTTAAAAACCATATTGAAGAGATCACATGTTAGGATTCCATTTATATGAAATGTCCAAATAGGCAAATCTATAGAAAGTAGATTAATGATTGCCAGAAGGGAGGCGGGGAGGGAGAGGGGTAAATGGGTTGTGACTGCTAATGGGTATAGGGTTTCTTTCTGAAATGATTAAAATGTTCTAAAATCAGGCCAGGCGCGGTGGTTCACGCCTGTAGTCCCAGCACTTTGGAAGGCCAAGGAAGGCAGATCACAAGGTTAGGAGTTTGAGACCAGCCTGGCCAATATGGTGAAACCCCGTCTCTACTAAAAATACAAAAAATTAGCCGGGCATGGTAGCAGGCACCTGTAATCCCAGCTACTCAGGAGGCTGAGGCAGGAGAACTGCTTGAACCCAAGAGGCAGAGGCTGCAGTGAGCCGAAATCATGCCACTGTACTCCAGCCTGGACAACAGAGCAAGACTCTGTCTCAAAAAAATAATTAAGTAAATAAAATAAAATGTTCAAAAATCCAATTGTAGTGATAGTTGCACAACTCTTTTAGTAAAAACCACTGAATGAAGTAATTATGTGTGAATTATATCTCAATAAAGCTGTTAAAAAAGAACAAAAGGGGGCAGTGGTTAGACGCCTTTCTAGCTCCAATGGAAGTTTCAATTATACTTTCCAATCATAATTCTTAGGTCTGCATTTAATATCTTTGCTTGAGGGATTAAAGGGGAGGGCCTTATACTGAAGCTTTTAATTAAATTAACATAATGAAGTACTGATGATGTTAATATTAAACTCTGATAGGGCTAATGGATAGGCACCCCCAATATACATTTAACCAATACATTCACCAGATTTCTGATATATCCTTTATTTCTTTTTTAAGGCCCATATTCGCATTTTTGTTAAGTTAGGCTGCCCCTCCCCTTAGTCTCTTTAAAAATATAAGCTAATGGTTTGGCTTATCTTAGATCCCCTTTTTCACCTCTATATTTTCACTTTCCAAGAAGGAGTATGTATTCTAAATAAACTTTTATTCTTCTGACTTTCTGTCTTTCCTTCAGGTAGTGTTTTTTGTTTTTTTTTTTGTTTTTTTAATCTATTTCTGTCAAAGTGGTTTTAATCCAGAGTTACTAGCATACTTAAGAAGCTGCTTTTTTAAGTATAATGGATTGAGCAGATGGGCTCTGTGATGACAAAAGGCAGTATCTTTACTACTAGCACTATTAAGACTTCCTACTTATAAGGCACTTCACTTACGTCATCCCACTTAATTAAAGACTGTGCACTGTGGGCCCAAGGTAATTATGGCCAAAAACAATTGGGGCAGGGATAGTAAATACACTCATTATGATGTTGTGAAACTATATTCCTAGAATGAAAGGGTTTACTTTTCTAAATGACTGTCCCTCAAAGCTCTGAATATACTTACTAGGTAATTAAACTTGGAAGATTTTTCACTATGTCCATATATCTGCATTTCTTATTTGAACTCTGTTAATGTATTAACAATTTTAAAAACTTTTTTAAAAGGACAAGGGGTGAATTCTACTTCATTCAAAGGGGCATATTTTACCAGTATATTATAAATATTTGCAATGCTGTTTTATCACTAGAAAAAAGCTTTAAAAATAAAACTCATATTAAGATGTTAGCTCACGTTTCACAAGGTTTTTCTTTTTTATTTAAAAAATTTATAAATAGAGACAGGGTCTCATTTTTTGCCCAAGCTTGTCTAGAACTCCTGGCCCCAAGTGATCCTTACACCTTGGACTCCCAAAGTGTTGGTATTACAGGCATGAGCCACCATGCCCAGCACCATTTCATAAAGTTTTAAGGAAAGCCAATACACAAATATTTCAAAAATGAGGATAAGCTAAATAAGTAAGAAATAAGAAGAAAATTAGAATAAGTTTGGCAGATCACCAGTTAAAATGCAGAAATACCAGCTTCCACAATAAAATCAAAATATCAGGAAAAAGTCATATTAAGATTCTCATAAAACAAAACCGGATACTAGTTTAAACAAAAGAAAAACAAATGTCAATTTTAAAAAACCTACAGTTTTCATTGGCATTGAAGCCTCTAAGAATGGCCTTCAGTTCTTGGAGCTTCTGATGAGCTCTTGCATGGACACTGTCAATCAGGAGTTTTTCTATTGATAAGTGGTCAATCTGCATAAATAAGAACAACAAATTCATATGTGCAATTTAAACGTTTTTACTTTAAAAGCCCAAGAGTAGATTACCGTGCTTCAAAATATTTCCTTTTGAAATCACATTGATTAGCTACTAAAAGAAAGCAAACTTAAAGTTAAAAATTAACTAATATGGTAATGAGTTAAAAATTAACTTATACAGTATTGATAGCTTAAAAACTATAGTTAACATTTTGATAAGTATAGGCGAAGATATTACAAATCAGTTATCATGGTGCTCAAATGCCAGATCTTAAAATTAAAATGGTATCTGATCTAAATTATAAAATATGAAAGAATATATTAAAAATTATACATTATGGTATCAGATGTTTTAAAAAAAAACCAACAAATGTAAGAAGTGTACCATTTACTTGAAATAAGTTTCATGAAGGATTTTAGGAATAATTAGGTATTTTTAAAAATTTGTGCTAAGAGTTTAAGCATAAATGGCAAGTTACATTCATTTAAACCAATATTAAAATATATTGAGATCTTTTACCTTCATGGCTCTTTCTACTAATTTGGAATCAGAAGCTGGCAAAGGAGGATCATGAAAAATCTGTAAAGGCTTGGAGACATCATTCTCATCAATTTTAATTGTAACTTTGTGAACAGATGCTGTTCCAGTTTTTCTTCCAAGAACCTGTTGACTAAAGAAAAAAAAAGAAATGAAGAATTTTTTCAACACAGCCTGTTAACTTCTAGAATAAAATAGAGACAATCCATCGTGCAGTTTAGCCAGAGCCCGGAATATGGCAGGTCCTCAGTGTTTGTGGAGGGAATAAATTAATAATGAGAAGGTAGCTATTCTGTAATCCAATACAATATTTGATTTATTGCATTAAGAAAAGAACACAGAATTTTGAAATAAAACATATGCACACATGAAAAAGAACCCCAAAACAAAACTGGCTGTCTTCTAAGTGGTATCTATTCACCTCTGATTCCTTTACAGAAAATGGGAGTATTTGGGATAATAAGATGCAGGGGTGAGGAGAAAAACAGCAATCAAGTAAAGTTCAAACAGGGAACTGCGAGTTGGAAACAGCCCAGTACCAATCTTCTCCCAAAGAAAAGTTTTTAACAGGCACAATTCAAAGTGGAAAACTTAAGCATGCATGTTTTAAAAGATGATACCCAACAATCTAACCTAACGGTCTTGTAGAAATTTGGTATAAGCCCAGAGTAAACTAATCTCTCAAACTTTTTAGGAATAGTAAGTCTCAGTACAAATAGGTAAATGTCTATGTATTTAAAACATGTTCTAAGACAGGTGTCAATTATGGATGTCCTATGTGGTCTACATAATACTATGGGACCTTACTACACAAAAGCATGTTACTAGAGGTGCATAGCTATTGGTATACAGTCATTCCTCGGTATGCCTGGGAGACTGGCTTCAGGATTCCTGTCCTAATATCAAAATCCACACATACTCACATCCAGCAGTCAGTCCTAGAGTCACCCAGCAGAATTCACGTATAGGGAAGGTTGGCCCTATACACAGGTTTCACATTTTGCAAATCGATCTGCATATAAGTGGACCCACACAATTCAAGCTTGTGTTGTTCAAGGGTAAACTGTGTATTTAATCAGATGTATGAGAGAAAAAGAGAAGTAAAAAGAGCATTTACAGTCATAGCACGAACCCATCAGAACTAATTTTACTTACTTCCAAACTGAGAGGGAGAGGCACTTTCCAGCATGGTATCTTTCCACCTGTACAAGGTCTCCCCACCGTTCTCGGATTAACATTAGAGTTTGGGAATGTAAGACTTCTAACTGAAGTGATAAACAGAAAGAATCTGATAGATGTTGTTAAGTAAATTTAATATGTTATGCCAACAGTCAATCAAGTACAGGCAAACTTGATTTAAGGAAAGCTCTGGTTCTGAAAAACTGTCTATGAAGAAAATTTCTGAAATATTTCTCCAATGGCTCATCCTAAAAAGTTGTTATAATTTATAGCATAATTTCAGAAAAAGGTTTTATATTTAATTTTGAACCAATATAAAACCATAAGGTCTGGGTTGTGTCTTAATTCATCATAGTTTAGAGAACATGGATTGACCAAATAGTACTATTTTTTTCATCAAACAGTACTTTTTTTTTTTTTTTTTTT